TCTCGCAGGAGGCGCGGAGGGCTTCACCGCAGCAGAGTGTCCGGGCGCTCACCTCGATGTGGAGCGAGGGGTTGGCGTCCAGGACGGTCTGCACCGTGTCGCCGTGCAGCCAGGCGTGGGCGCAGTCCGCGTCCATGAGGGTCACGCCGACGCTCCGCAGGGCCGGGGCCGAGGCGGGGCTGACGGCCGGCAGCAGCAGGTCGGGGTCCTCGTCCGTGCTCAGGTGGCGCAGGGCCCGCAGCGAGGGCAGCGCACTCATCAGAGGCTGGAGCAGGGGCGAGGGCTCTCGTACCCGAAGCGGCATGCCTTGCTGGAGCCTCCGCTGCGTCGCTTGATCGCACTGCCTCCAAATTGATCGGATCGAGTTGTAGACGACCAGCTTCTCCAGGCGACTTTCACCGGACGAGGCCAGCGCAGGGATGAGGGCCACGCAGGCCGCGCCGCCGACGACTTCACCGCCGAAGTAGTAGCCGACGGGGGGCCAGAAGCTCAGGGTCACCTCGCGCAGCTGGACGGCGTTCCGGAGCAGCTCGGCGGCATCCTGGGCGACGCCCTGGTGTCTGGCGTCGATGGTGAGGGTGAGGCGCAGGACGCGGAGCGACTCGCAGGCGGCCAGGGCCTGCAGTCCGGGAAGGGCACCGCACTGGAGCTCCCGCAGGTGGGTCATGGCGGCCAGCAGCGGCGCCGTGGAAGTCAGGGAGAGCAGGCCCCGGTTGCGGTCCGAGAGGTTGATCGTCTCGAGCGTGGTGGCGTGCTCGGCCAGGATGGAGTTGACGAAGGCCTCCGTCTTGGTGCTCAGGTTGCACTCGAAGTGCCGCACGGTGTGCAGCGCGGGCGCGGCCATGGCGGGAAGCTCGGCGATTCGGCCCCCGTACGTGAATTCGACTCTGACGTCGAGGTGCTCCAGCCCGGGCGTCGACACCACCGTCTCCACCGCCGTGTCCCCGGGAGCCAAGCCGTAGAGACGCAGCGTCAGGCTCTTGAGCCGGCCCAGCGCAGCCTGCCGCCGGACGAGCTCGAAGGTGTCGGCCCAGGCGTCGGCGTCGGCGTCCTCGCAGACGGACACGCACAACTCTTCCACGGCGCAGCGGACGGGGAAGTCGGCCAGGCGACACGGCGCCGGCCTCGGCGTCAGGTACTCGCCCAGCGCGTCGAGTTGCGGGGCGAAGCGCAGCACCGGGCACACGCACTTGTTGGCGTCGGCGGGGAGCCGGTCGAGGCCCAGCCGGTGGTGGGCCCACGCGTCCGGGTGCAGGGCCGCGGCGCCGATCCGCTTGCTGACGAGGCGGCAGGCGAGCAGGTCGTCGACGCCGAGGTGCTGCATCATCTTGATCAGCGGGGTGTCCGGTAGCAGCTCCATGATGGGCTGCAACAATACAACCGGGAAGGGGCGGTTAGTTGGAGGAAGCACACGCGGTTGGAGAGACGGCCCCCAAGCGCATAGGTTTCTGATGCAGAAGATTCATTTGTTAGAGCGCCCCC